AAATAACTAAATAAGTATAGAATAAAATCTGTTTTAAATAAGTGTTGGTAAAAATGCTAGTATAATTAAATATATTAAAAATTTGAGATTAGTTATAGGCTTGACAAATAAATATATAAAACCTCACATATTAACATATTTTTATATACTTTTTATCTAATAAAGACAAATAATTGGAAATTACAACCATTAGAATCTACAAAATCAATATAAAATATTGACGGTTACTTTTTCGTTTGTGTCTTTTTATCGCAACTTTCTGTTAAAATATCGATGGTTATTTTTTCTCGGTTGTGTCTTTCTAACGCAACTTTCCATTAAAATATTGACGGTTATTTTTTCTCGGTTGTGTCTTTTTCTCGCAACTATTCGTTAAAAATATTGACGGTTATTTTTTCGTTGACGGTTATCTTTTTGCTTGTGTCTTTTTATCGAAAGTTTTCGTTAAAATATAGACGGTTACTTTTTTCGTTTGTGTCTTTTTACCTTAACTTTCCGTTAAAATATTGACGGCTATTTTTTTTGGCTGTGTTGATTTATCGCAACTCTTCCGTTAAAACATTTACAGTCATATTTTTTGTTGACGGTTATTTTTTCGGCTGTGTCTTTTTATCGTAACTTTCCGTTAAAATATTAACAGTTACTTTTTTCGTTTATGTCTTTTTTATCGCAATTTTACGTTGAAATATCGACAGTTATTTTTTATCGGTTGTCTCTCTCTATTGCAACTTTCCGTTAATTTATTGACGGTTATTTCAATCGCAACTTTCCGTTAATTTTATTTAAAGAACTGTGGAGAAACAAAAAATACCAATTCTCAGGCAAAGTTCTTAGTCACCCACAAGTCGTACTGAGTACCGATTTCATCCGAATCTTTGGGGTTTGACCCGCTAGAATTTCTCATCTCTATAGTATAACTCTTCGATATGTATTTTGTCACTTATAAATAATTTTACATTCATAAAAAAAATTTCAAAAGTGTTTTTAATCACAATTCTTCTTTTTTACATTTTTATACATAAATTGTTTTAACCTATTTAGAAAATATTTACGATATAACTTTAAAACATAGTTAATTTTATGTAATAACTCAAATATTTGAATATATTATCATAATAGTTTAATACATAAACATAATAAATTATATTTGTTGAAAATGAGTTTCCCCGCGACATCGCGGGGGTTCATAACCTAGTAGTAATAAAAATAATAATGAATTAAATTACAGTAAAAAATTATTGATTTTTTCACATGCATGTATTAAAATTATCAATTGTTTTCACTAAAAGAAACTAAAGATAGAGTAAAACTAAATTAACAAAATTGTGAAATGTATACCCGGGCGTAGCCCGGATTTTTCCCTAGTCAGTATATAATAAAATCTGTTTTAAATAATAAGTGAATGCAGGGATATTAAAATGGTGACTAAAACGTACGACAAAAGTTGGTAACTAACATTAGAGAAGTTATCCTACCGAACCGAACCGGAGTTAACCAGCATTTTGCATCATTCGATATTTGGGTTCTCTTTAGTCGTTTTCTTTCACCCCCAGTTTCCAATTGAAGAAGACAAGACCAGCATTATCACCAAATTTCGCTGTAATATTCTTCAGTTTGATCTTGAAGATCGAACAATCAGTAGCAATCTGCAATTTCGTAAATTTTTAAGATATATTCTTTCTTTTTTCTCAGTTCATAATTCAGCAAATGGATAAAATTTTTGTTCTTGCTGTTGTTTGTAACGTATACGAGAATGTACTTTGTTCATGCTTTACTCGTAAAGTTTCCAGAATCATTTCACAACTCTTTCGCTATTAGGTTTGGGTTATTATAACCAATTAGCTGATTCTAAAGTGTTTTAGGAAAAACCGCTAACAACCGCAACAAACCGCTATAACCGATAGGCGGTTGATAGGGAAAGAACAAATCAACATCTTAGTAACTTAGATCTTATTGTTAGAGACATTAAGAATCTTCATTGTTTGATATATTATATTTGTTGTCCACTTGTCTCATTGATTTGAGCAATGTAGTCTTTTAGTTTCGAAATGCAATTGTGAAAATGTACAAAATCTTTTAGTCGTTTTGTTCCTAATTTAAAATTGTTTTTGTTTCTTATTTGCAGCTAAATGATAAGTCTTTGGTATGCAATGTATTCATTGTGAAGCGGACAAAAAGACAAAAATTATGCTCGCTTTAGATCACATATTACAAACATGATCCTTATCTAAGGGAGAGCTCTATCTAAGGTAACATTATATATGGGCTTTTCCTATGATCATTAGTTTACACATATTTGGAACACTATTTATGGAAAGCTCTTGTTAATCATCACGATGAGAGTTTTCTAATGAACTCTATTAGTATATATATATGAAAAGAAAAATGACAAGATTTACAAAATTTGGATAGAAACCAAACAATTAGTTATGAAATTAGCGCAGACTAAGACTCTACCATGGCAGACATCACAAGTTAAGGAACATGATATGAAAATTCATAATGCTATACCCCTTCTATGATCTCTAATAAGTGATAAGTTAGCACGTTTTGATGGTTATATGCCTCTTGGAAGGAGACATATATTTTTCACAAGGTATTAGTGTAATAGAGATTGATATAAGAAGGAGATGAATATGGTTTCAAGTCTAGGTCGGTTTTACTTTTCAGAAAAAACCCAATTATGGGGGCCAAAAATATACACAAGACGATCTCTACCCATGACACTCTGGGTCATGATTTGGGCCATGACTTATATGATAGCACAACAAAGAACAAAGGTAGTCTTCGCAACAAACTGCACCAAACTGGTAAAGAAGGTGTCCACAACGACGTATTGGCCAATTTTCTCTACATATATAAAATAATTTGTCATAATTCAACATTTTTATTTTTTTTTCTCTCTTTCTGTCATATCTCGTACTTACAATCATAAAGCAGGTAAGTTAGCACGGTGTGCTAGGGTTATCTTGATGATGGTATTTATGAAATTTGTATCTTGGTTTGAATTTCATAACCATTTTAATCTATATATTTTGACAAATAAAATATACATAACCTTTTAAGAGTTTTTTTTTGCTAAAGAAAGAATTAAATTTCAAAATTGGATACTAATCTTCATACCATGAATTGTAATATCATGATTGGATGTTAAATTCTAATTTTTTAAAATTAATATAGTTTAAAGTTTTGATTACCAAAAAAAAAATTGTAAATCCTTAAAAGTTAAAACAGATGAAACATTTCAACTTACAACTATTAGAATCTTCAAAATTTATTTAAAATTTTCATTAGTTATCCTTGTAAGAAGATTTACTAGGTATAAAAAAAGAAATATTTGTTCAGAAATGTTCAAAAGTTATCAATAAAATTACTAGTCAAAGGGAACAAAATCAATACATCTATACTAGTATTTTTGCAGTCACTTTTGAGTCGGATGGGTAAAATTGTTCTCGGATATTTTGGATACCCGACCCGTTTACAAATTTTAGTCATAAAAAGTTTGGTGGGTCGGATTATATTTAACCCAACTCATACACCGGATATTCCATAGTTAATAATTTAGATATTTCGAAGATTTGATTAAGATTTAGAATTATGATTCTCCTATTATCTTTGTATGATTTGTTTTTAACTGTTTTGAATCATCATATAATATATAAAGTAAAAAAAAAAAGATCAATTTTTTTCTGCATATCCTGTGATTCGAAATTTTAAACACGGACATATATTATCCAATTGACGAAAATGTGTGTTCAACTATCTACATCGATTAAAATATTTAGACAATGATTCAGAATCATATCATAAATAAGATCAACATTAATAAAATAAATGAGGTTTTTGGCCGGACGGGTTTGGCGGGACGGATTTTTGAATCAACAATAATAAAAAGATTAAAATATCATTAATCCGCCGCTTTAATACGGATTAAATCCATAATTTTTTAATACCACCAATATTAGACATATTAAATGAGTCTCATTTAGAAAAGATTGTATAAAACCCAAAATTGTCCCGTAGTATAATGTTACTTAATAACAATTGTAAACTATAAAATATAAATATCTTAGAAAATGATACAATTTGCAAACTTTTATATATAATAAATAATCGTTAAATTTTAAAAATTACTACTTTTAGAAAACAAATCACGGGGCGCTTTCAGAAGTTACAGGACGAGTTATATTTCGGAACGACGTAATATGGTGGACGAGTTTGAATCAATATTTATAAAATTTTAAAATATCATTAACATGTCGCTTTAATACTGATTAAATCTTCAATTTTTTAAAATATAAATGACTTAGAGAATGATATGATTTGTAAACTTTTATATATAATAAATAATCATTAAATTTTAAAATAAAAACAAATCACGGGACGGGTTAAAAAATTACGGAACGGGTTATATTTCGGAACATATTTATATGGCGGACGAATTTGAATCAATATTTTTAAATATCATTAACATGCCGCTTTAATACGGGTTAAATCTTCAGTTTATTAACAATTGTTTCGTGGACTCGTGGTATACCGTTACTTAATAACAATTGTAAACTATAATATAAATACATATTTTATAAGGAAATACAATTTACAAAATATTTTTATACTAATTTTAAAAATAAATCATCCTGCAGTGTATCATGGGTTAAAATCTAGTTTACTATAGTTAAATCCTTAAAAGAGCTGAATCATTTCAGCTCAAAACTATTAGAATCTTCATAATATATTTCAAATTTTCATTAGTAATATTGGAAAAACAATTTCATATGTATAAAATAATAAATATTTTCTCACAAATGTTCCAAAGTTATCAATACATTTACAAATCAAAGGTAACAAAATCGATACATTTACTATAGTTAAATCCTTAAAATAGATGAATCATTTCAACTTAAAACTATTAGATTCTTTAAAATTTATTTCAGATTTTCATTAGTAATCTTGGAAAAACAATTTATTATATATAAAATAGCAAATATTTTCTCACAAATATTCAATACATTTTCTAAGTAAAGGTAACAAAATCAAAATATTTACTGTTAATTATAAGAAAATTAATTGAAAGATTCTTACGTTTTCAATGTATGACAGAAAAAGCTTTTCTTTTTAACATGTGTTGTGTAGTTAAGGGTATTGGGAGGTTGTCAAACAAAATAAATCTTTAAAAATATTGGGAGATATTTACATATTTGTAGTTTTCTTCCTTACATATGTGTTAGTAGAATCTTGTGTATTTATTAGTTTCTGCTTTCACGAGAAGTCCATATCCCTAATTGGCTAAGCATATGTGTATATATATATATATATATATATCAGCCACTGACTCTAAACAATAACCAAAAAAGAAAATCTTATACAAAGTTATCAAAAAAGATTATCATAGAAATGGCTATCACCAAAAAAATGCTTGTCGTATTACTTCTCACTATTCTTTTTGTCACATCGTTGGTTCAATGTTCCGATAGCACTGTTGGTACAGTCTTATTATACTCTTAATTTTTTTTTGTTATTAACATATTTTTATCAATAATTTAGATGATTATAATGATTTTGTTTAAATAGGTATTGGAATCAAACAAGATTGGAAAAAATGCTTCGGTCCAGAACCGTGTATGAATGGAGGAGGGACCGAAGGATGCATGAAGTGGTGTAGAAAAAACATAAGCCTTTTATTGTATGGTGAATGTACTACTAATCCTGTTCAATGTTGTTGTGTGACAAAATAATCTAAACAACGATTGAAATTTTCTATAAAATAATAATTTAGTTTCATCTCCAAAAATTTGTGAGAAACCAGAATTTATTAGTTTTTCTTCTCTCTTTATTTGATTTATCACTGTTTGATATTTAAAACGGATATTCTTAATCGTTTCTGTTTTATATAATATCAATTACAGAAAAGAACATCGCTAATCTACATATATCGAATTCATAATACACAAATCGTACCAAATCAAAGTTTAGACAAAAAAAAGAAGAAAAAGAAAAAGAAACTCAAGCGAATCTTCCTTGCAAAATAAGTATAAAATAAAATCTGTTTTAAATAAAAACTAAATGTATGTATTAATTTGGTCAATAAAAATATACGACAAAAGCAAAATTGGTTACAACATTAAAGTGAACCAAACCGGAGTTAACCAAGAAGAAGCAGGCTCGTAACTTGTTTTCACTCCCAATGTCGAATTGAAGAAGATAAGATCAGAGTCTGCTTGTTTTTTGTGATTCTTCACCAATTTCGTAATTTTGGGTATCTTCTTTCTCTTTTTTTTTTCTCTGCAAACAAGGAAAATTACTCTTTTTGTTGTTTATAATGTATTCGAGAGTGCATTTTGTTTAATGAGTATCTCAAAGATTTATGTTTTACTTGTAAACTTTTTGGGTTTGAGTTCTTATAACAAATTAGCTGATTTTGAAGTGTTTCGTAACTTAGATCTTACTGTTAGATTCTTAAAGACTTCAAGAATCTCCATCAGTCCATAGTTTGATATATCACATGTGTTGTCCTCTTGTCTCATTGATTCGAGCAATCTAGTCTTTTAGTTGCGAAATGCAATTGTGAAAATGTACATTAGTCTTTTAGTTCCTAATTTAAAATTGTTCTTGTTTCATATCTGCAGCTAAATGATATGTTTTTGGTATTAGTGTTATGTAGATTTCTCTTGTTTAGATTAGGGAAATTTGCAAGAATATTACAAAAAAATTTATAAATTAAGAAACTAACACCTAACAAAAAAAAGTTGATATTCTCTATATTTTCTGTATTAATCACAATTTTGACCTTGTCTCTTTACCCATTTCTCTTCTCTGTCTTTCATAGCACATCCCATTTTTTTTCCAGAATCTCTTTCCTCTCCGATCTTCTACTCATTCTCCCTCTTTCATTAATGCAATTATGCAAACACTAGATTTTATGGTTTCACCAATCGACAACCCTAAGTGTTACTAAAGTCTCCTTCTTCCTCTCTTCCATTGCTCGTTCATTCCACCAACAACTCCACACCAAAATTGTCTTTTCCCAACCCTTACATGCTATTTTCTTAATTTATACATACATGATGCTATATTCTTAATTAAATGATCAAAAGTGGCTAGTTTTGCAAATCACCCTTTAGATTATTCTTTCTTTTTTTTCTTTTTTTTTTTGTTTGTCAAAAGTTTAGAATTCTTTCTTTGTCACATTTTTCAGTTATCACCAATGTTCAAAAGTAATAAGGTAACAAATCAATACATTTAATAAAAATATAAGGAAATTAATTGAAAGATTATTTGTTTCATACACAAAAGTACTTTTTCTACATATTTTTACTATAGTTAAGAGTATTTGGAGATATTATTGTATCCCTCTTTTTACATATTTTTGTTTCTCTTCTTTACATATTTGTTAGTGAATCGTGTGTCTTTATTAGTTTTGGCTTTCAAAGAAATTCCAAATCCCTAATTGGCTAATCGTATGTGTATATATATTGGTCACTAACTCTAAGTAATAACCAGAAACAAAAAATATTTTACAAAGTTATAAAAAATACTATAAAAATGGCTATCACCAAAAAAATGCTTGTCGTATTTCTTCTCACTATTCTTTTTGTCGCATCGTCGGTTCATTGTTCGGATAGCACTCTTGGTACAATCTTATTATACCTTTTTTTTGAGGTTACAAATATATTTTTTCATTTATAGATGATTATAATATAAAGATTTGTTTAATGATTATCATTGGATAGGTGTTGGAATCAAACAAGATTGGAAAAAATGTTTCAGTCCAGACCCGTGTAAAAAAGCAGGAACGCAAGGCTGCATGGAGTTCTGTAGAACTATAAGCTTTTTATTATTCGGTGAATGTACTTCTAAATCTGATCAATGTTGTTGTGTGACAAAATAATCTGAACTAAGATTCATATTTTCTATAAAATAATATTACTAGTTTCATCTCCAAACATTTGTGAGGAACCATAATTCATTGGGTTTTTCTTCTCTCTTTATTAAATTTTGAATTTTACACATATCGAGATCATAATACACAAATCGTATCAAATTAAAGTTTTTTTGTTAATACTTGAGCAACTTTTTTTTGCAACAGAAAATAAGTAAAACATTAAAAACATTCACTGCAAATTATACAAAAAGTCAAGTGAACCGAACCGGATTTAACCAAGAAGAACCGGAGTAAATTAGAGTTACAAAATTTCGATTATTGGGTTCTGTGATCCATCCAAACTTTTAAAACACATTCACTTGTTTTCTCTCCCATTGAAGAAGATAAGACCAGAGTCGTATCGTCACCTTGAGGATCGAACAATCAATAGTAGTAATCTACTGTTTTGTAGTGATTCTTCTCCATTTTCGTAATTTCCATGTCTATTCAATCACTTTTTCTTGTTTTTAACGTATACGAAAGTGGATTTTGTTTATCTCAAAGATTCATGCTTTACTTGTGAATTTTCCTGTACCATTTCACAGTTCTTTCGTGTTTGGGTTCTTATAACCAATTAGCTGATTTTGAAGTGTTTTAGAACTTAGATCTTACTGTTAGAGTCTTAGAGAAATCAAGAATCTCCATTGTTTGATGTATCACATGTGTTGTCCTCTTGTCTCATTAATTCGAGCAATGTAGTCTTTTAGTTGTGAAATGCAACTGGAAAATGCGCAAGATCTTTTTGTCTTTTAGTTCCTAATTCAAAATTGTTCTTGTTTCACATCTGCAGCTAAATGATTTGTTTTTGGTATTGGTGTTATGTAGATTTCTCTTGTTTAGATCATTCATAGTGTAAATCTTTCCTGTTGGTTTAAATTGGGTTTATAAATGTGTTGTGGATTCATTTGTCATATAATGGATATGTTTCAGGTACTTAAGAAAGCCGTAGGATGACCATGTATTGTCGGGGACTGTGGCTGTCGCTATGGTGGTGGTGTTGCTGTCAATGCAGTGGTTTGCACAAGGGTACCCGGAAGAAGATTTGGTGGTGAGGCTACCAGGTCAACCAACTGTTGGGTTCAAAACAATACGCAGGTTATGTCGATGTCGATGTGAAGCTGGTCGGAGTCTGTTCTATTACTACGTGGAGGCTGTTAAACAACCAGACACAAACCATTGACCCTTTGGCTTAATGGAGGTCCGTCTTTTGATGCTCAGTTGCTGCATAACTCATATGTTTAAAGAATGTGTAATTAAATTTCATATTGAGGTTTGCATTGCAGGTCCAGGTTGTTTCTTCAATTGGTGGAGGAGCTTTCACTGAGTTAGGTCCATTTTACCCCACTGGCGATGGCCGTGGCCTTCGCGTCAACTCCATGTCTTGGAACAAAGGTTTGTTTTTGACAGTCTTAGGCAAATAGCACAGAACTCTGTGATTTTATATTTGATGCTGTTGTCTCTTGGTGTAATATGTATAGCTTCGAACCTGCTTTTTGTGGAGTCACCCTGCTGGAGTAGGATGGTCTTACTCCAACCGAAGCTCTGATTACAACACCGGGGACAAAACTACTGGTAAGTTTTAATTTTATAAGGCCCTTTTCAAACCATATTAGAAGACTGTTGTTTCTTGACATGTTTTGTGGTTGGACAGCTAGCGATATGCTCGTGTTCTTGTTGAGATGGTTCGACAGTTTCCAAAGTTGAAGTCCCGCGACCTCTTCCTCACTGGCGAAAGCTATGCAGGTGTGTCTTTGATATCGATGAAATTTATTGAATTTTGAGCTTAAAACCAGAACTATTCTCATATATATTGTTTGCAGGACATTACATACCTCAACTGGCTGATGCGATTCTCAGCTATAATTCACGCTCAAGTGGGTTCAAATTCAACATTAAAGGCGTTGCAGTAAGCAAAAGAACCTTCTTCTTGTCATTACATCAACTCTTTTGTTTCTCTTCTGAATCCTTTGTCTGTTTGTTCTTTCTGATCAGATCGGGAATCCACTACTGAAACTTGACAGAGACAGTCCAGCTACGTACGAGTTCTTCTGGTCGCATGGGATGATTTCTGATGAACTCAAACTCACAATTACGAGCCTATGTGACTTTGATGATTACACATTTGCCAGCCCCCATAACGTAAGCACGGCCTGCAATGATGCTATTAGTGAAACTGAAAACATCATCACTGAGTACGTCAACAACTATGATGTTCTCCTCGACGTATGTTATCCTTCTATCGTCAGCAAGAGCTGAGGCTCAAGAAAATGGTTAGCCCCTTTTCACCTTTTGTTCCACCAACAAACTTTTGTTGAATTATCTGTCAATTTATTAAAACAACTTCAGGCTACTAAACTGAGCTTGGGAGTGGATGTGTGTATGACCTATGAAAGACGGTTCTACTTTAACCTTCCAGAGGTACAAAAGGCGCTTCATGCGAACCGTACTCATCTACCTTATGAATGGTCAATGTGCAGCGGGTAAATTATCGTACCTTCTCTCAGTTTTATTGATCACAACATTAGAGAAGCTATTTATAACTGGAGTTCATATTATATACTGATTGCTTTGGCGGTTCACTTTGCCTGTCACAGTCAGTTGAACTACTCTGACAACCGATGGGAATATCGACATGCTTCCGATTCTGAAGAGAATTATACAGAACAAAACTCCTGTTTGGATCTTCAGGTAATAATTCTATTAAAGATCCCTTTATCTCCCTCTTCTCCTGTTTTTTGCAGCTTAACACCCAGCTTGTCGAAATTGCAGTGGAGATCAAGATTCTGTAGTTCCATTCGTCGGTTCAAGAACTCTCGTAAGAGAACTTGCTCATGATCTCAACTTCGAGACCACAGTTCCCTATGGAGCCTGGTTCCACAAAAGTCAGGTAGTTGCCTACACCATTAAACAATTCTATCAGCAGAAGCCAAGTTTGCTTCTTACCCCTGCAAAAATTTCTCTTAACTGATTGCAAACTGGTGGGATGTGACTAGGTTGGAGGCTGGGCCATCGAGTATGGAAAACTACTGACGTTTGCAACGGTGAGAGGAGCGGCTCATATGGTACCATATGCGCAGCCCTCACGAGCTCTACATTTGTTCAGTAGCTTTGTGAGTGGCCGGAGATTGCCCAACAACACACATTCTTCTACTGTTGATGAAAGAGCAGATTTCTAAGAAAAATGTAGTTTGTATTTAATTTATCTGTCTCAGGCCTTAGATAGTAGAGATAGAAACATATAAGGGTTTGTGTTGCGGTTTGGTTGGATCTTCAAGTGTAGTTTGTTTTAGTTATCACAAACATATTAACAACAATTCTCTTTAGATATGTTTATATTGAATCGAAATTTATCTGAGTTATTGAACTAGTAACAACAATAATTTTTATCACCATAAGATTTTTTTTAACAAATTTTGCCAATATGTTTTAGCAAGAGTACTCGCATATGCACATCCTATAACCAGCATAGTTGACACAACCCCCATGTCCATTCTTATATTTTATTGCGCATTGTCTATCACAACAACTCTGAGGACAAGTGTCAGTGCACATATCAGTCCCACCGACGCACACTTTGGCTGGTTTGAATGACGCACATTCGTAGGTGCACTTGCACATCCCATCCGAACCGTTACATTTGCTTACGGACGATGGTCCGTGTTTGGCCTTGCATCTTTGGTCGCAATTTTCACAAGAGCCTAGGTTCTCGTCACATGTCTGTGCTCTTATCTGATTCACAACTGAAATATTATATGATTTAGTAAACTTAACATAAAAATATGTGATGAAGAGTAAAAACATAACAATTGAAAGGTATGTAAAAGATTATATAATAGGGTAATATCACAAAATAGCCAAATTTTGAGTCAAAATTAAGTATATAAAAGATATATGTATGTAATATATTAATACCTGAGGCAAATATGATAACTAAGCTAACAAAGAATAGAAGTGAAGTACTTGTCCTCTCCATACTTTCACCTTTTCTAGTTTTCTTCTTAACTTTTCTCTCTATGAGAATTGTATGTTTTTGGGGTATTTAGTTAATCTATATATAAGCAAGCTAAAGAAAGACTCTGAATAGACAAAAAATAATAATAATTAAAATTGAAGATAAGAACATTACTTTCATGTTCATGATTAAGTTGTCATGATTTTTTTTTCATATACAAACAAATTTTTCTAAAAATTGTTATGACCAATAAAGTTTCTTCAGTTACCAAATCTTTTCATTTATTAAAAGAGATGTTATTTAAGAGAACAAGATTCTTAACATCACTCCATGGAATCTATAATATTTCAAAATTAATTAAAAAATTCTCATATTGTCTTTTTGCAAGATTTAACTATTCTTTTTCATTTACTTATTAGATTTCAAACAAAAAGAATACCTTTAAAGATATATTTCTAAATACTAAAACAAAAACATTAAAATCTATTTTTGTTGATGTGTAACATACATAATGAGTTTCATCAATTTTATTTTTTCTTTCTTTTTTTATTTGCTGGCATTAAAAGTATTTTCTTAGTAACTCTAACCATAAAATTATAAAAATAAAAAAGCATTTTTGGTTTTCTTTTTCAGAAAATTAACAATATTATATATTTTTCTTTCTATTTTTTCGTCCGCCATCGGTTAAATGAAAAAAAAATGATTTCACAAGTTCCCATATATATATATATATATAGTTATGTTTAGCCATGGACGTTCGGTTTATTTAGGGTAATGGTTCATTATTTGGTTTTTTTAGTCTTGTCCAAATCATGCCGAATTGAACTAAATAATAATTTTGTTCGGTTCGGGACTCGGTTTATTTGATTCGGTTATTGTAGGCATGACCACGGTTACGGTTATTACGGTTACGTTTGCTTAACCAACGGTTACGGTTATAAATTTTCTTTAACCGTAACCTTAACCACTATATATACGGTTAAAACGGTTACAGTTAAATACGGTTACGGTTACAATGGTTACGGTTATATACGGTTACGATTATATGATAATTACAATACGGTTAATATCGGAGGCGAAATCTTACAGGTTATGTAAATTTTTATACTACTTTGAATAAAAAGGAAATGTATGTTATAAACCATATTTTCTTCATTTTGAGCATTATAGCATTACAACATAATTGTTTGAGAAAAAGACCATTATGTCTATCGAGATTTTTTCATATGCGGTATTATTTACTTTTTCAAAAATCTTTATCTGAATACTCGATATTTTTTTTGTATTATATGCAGTTACAATTATATTTTTAAAGTTTAGTTATACGGTTAATAATGCGGTTAACAGTACGGTTAACCGTACGGTTAAACTAATGGTTAGTATTTTTTCTAACTGTAACAAATCTATTTTTACGGTTAGTGGTTACGGTTTTTTTAAGTTTTTATACAGTTATTGTTCTGTTACGGTTGAGAAACGGTTACGGTCCGAAATACGGTTACGGTTAATTTTTGGTCATGCCTAGGTTATAGGCTATAAAATTAGTTCCAAAGTGAACCAATTTTTTTTTTTGGTCAACCGAAAATAAATTACAAGCCCATGAATTTTTTTACAAACCAATTAATAAATTTACCACTCAAATATCAAGTCCATAAATATAAACTACACACCCATTATTAAATTTACAACTACCAAATACCAAGCCCAAATCCATTACAAATTAGTGTTCTCAGCAAAGTGTGAGGCTACCCATTAGAATGAGATGGTGACGGTGACCTACGGCTGTTCGATCTCATGCCCGACAAGACTTGTTACCAACCAGCCTCAGAGAACTACATTCATAAAGTTCTAATACCAGTGTATATTAAAGTTTAAACAAATCTTCTTAAAATGTGTAGAAAGAGAGAAAAAAACGAAAGTAAAATTTACCTGTTGTAGGATCGGCGATGTTGAAGTTTTCCTTGTCATTACTCATTGTGAGGATTTAGAGGAGAAAATGAGAGATATTAAGCATAAGCAGTAGAAAGAGAAGCATAAGATTTCGCTAGGGTATCAGAGAGCCCAAAGAAAAAGCGGACGAAAATTGAAGAAAAACAAATTAGATGTAGAGTTTTTTTCTAATATATAGAATAAATAATGAGTGCCGAAAAGAAAAAAAAAAGGAGTAAATAGTGGATTGTAACAATTTTTGAGTAAGTCCATAGAGTTTTGCTCATATTAAACATTTTCTCATTAAATAAGTCCAAAGTAGCACAAATTATATTAAACGCGTTAACTATCGTTTTTTTTTAGTCAATCATCTTTCTTCGAGCTTTATCCATAGCGGATCTTTAATGTGCCCAACCCATCCTCGTTTCTTTGGCCTAAATTCATGAAGTTGCTTTGACATATGATGGTACGAAGAGAACTAAAGAACCGTTTGGTTAGCTGATGACAAACCGAACCGAACCAAGAATCGATGTGTATTTATAAAATGTCGATCGGTATACAGCTAACCAAAATTCTCGGTTCTGTTCGGTTTTTCAGTTATCACCAAATGCCCATGGCTAGTTACGCTTTTAGAAAGAATATGTTATATGTCAAACTAGTGTGGGTTACACACAACTTTAATCCCATGAGTATTCAACTTTCATGCCAGTCTACAACGAGTATTATATATGATATCAAGAAGATCCCATGCGAAACACGTGATTTTAGTAGCACAAAAGATGGATAGAAATGATGCTACTTTGGTGCATCAACTTTACACAAATGATTTATTTTGTGCGGCATACTCATGAACTACTAACCATGTGGATGAGAATTTATTTTCACCGTAAGATGTTGTGAGTGAAGATTGATTGCCACCAAATATTGGAAGATCTATATTTTGTCACAAAATCTAGAATAGTTTAGCTTCATCGCTCTAAACAATTTCATCTTTGTATGTGATATGGTGCTTGAACCCTCTGTTTGAACCTCTGTGGTTGTAATCTTCCAATATCCTTCACCAAAATGAATTGCATCGTTAAGAAAATAGAATGACTTTGGTGGATAGAATGACAATATCCTTCACCAGGAACTTATCGTTAGGCCTCATCAATGGTCTGACTTCTGCACCTTCCTGTCCAAAATCTATTTCACAGCCTTGTTGTTGTTAATTAACCTCTGCATGAAACAAAATTTAAAGAATTTAAGAGCAAATTAACATCATGTGAAACTAGAGTAAATATCATATTAAATCAGATTAACTTTAAATCAAAATCATAGATTAAGGAAACAGTTAAATAATTAAACATCATATAATAAGAATAAACATCACATATTAAGCATTTCATTCAAAGAAGAAGAATGAATACAGAAATAAGTACACAAGAACAACAAAGCATTTCAGACTCAAACAAACAAGTTGAACACAAGTAAAGCAAAGAGAGAAGAAATTGGACCTTATTTGAGTGTAAGGGAAGATGAATAAGAATCGCTAGAGACTCAGCATCTGCAGCCATAACAAACTCAGAGACTCAGCATACTATTATTCCGTTACTCCCCTTCACAATCATTTCTAACACAAAAATTCTCATCACAACACTAACGAAATCCAAAACTAACACCAACACAAGGCATTAAACACTATAATATTATGCTAACAATACATTATTTTCTTGTAGTGTTAACAACTTACAAACTCTAAAATTTACACAATATATGCTCTTTTTTTTAAGAAACACAATATATGCTATAAGTAATACAAAGTAAGTAAATATAATTGAGCCCATATTTTGAGCCTATATTGACCATTAAACATAAAAACCAAACCAAAGAACAGGAGGAGAACACTACTCTATCTCTAAGTTTTCTTAGTGGTCGACCTTGCAAACTTGCGAATATGTTGGTAGCGTTTTGGTGGAGTTGAGCCACAAAGCTTTGGTAGAGAATTTGTATATGGTTTGATAGACTTGTAGCAGGTCTTTGGCAGACTGAAGGAAAACATGTAGTTGTGTGTAAGGGTGGAATGATAAATATTAAACTAACTAAAAAAATATAAAGCAAATGGTAGAGCTGGAGTAAACGAGAAAAACATTTTCATCTATAATCTATGATTATGCATAGTATAATGTTTACTTATATATGTTAAGTCGATTTTACTAATTCTTCTCGTCTTAACTAAACTACATAAAAAACGTCACAAATTTCTATAATGTTTCCTACGAAAATTTGGTTAGAAAATTTTCTTACAACTTACGAAATTAGGACGAAAAGTAAAAGTAGAAAGATATTTGTGCCATTAGAAAGTATTTTAAAATTACTTACCAATTTTCTACGACACTTATATCCCTAAAAAATTAGGTGGAAAATAATAGAAATTTGGTTGGAAAATATTGAAATTTCGGACGGTAGAAATTTCTACGAAAAATTTCGACCATTTTCCTACGAAAAAGTCTATAAATTAATTGTAGGGAAATTATTATTATTTTAAGGAATTAAGGATATGTAAAATATTTCAAATATTGTAATGGTAATTTTGTTGATTTTTAATAGTTTTATAATTTATTAACTTATTTTAAAAAATTCCTACTTAATAAGATATTATTGTTCTATTTAACTTTCTTTCAAAAAGTTAATTAGTTAGTGTAACTCTACACGTTTACTTTATTAATGACGCGTTCAACAATTTGTATTGTCATCAAATGTCAAATTTCTGTTTTACAACTCCTATAAATTCTAAATTTCCATACCTAGATCAATCGTTGTTGTAATTTACTTGTAGGCTTTCAGCTCCTCAAGGCTGAAAATGATATACTAGGTCAATACTAACAACACTAGAGCAAAACAAAAAGAGTAGAAAGTAACAAAGTAATAGTAAAAATAGCAAATATTTTCTCACAAATATTCAATAGTTATCAATACATTTACTAATTAAAGGTAACAAAATCAAAATATTTACTGTTAATTATAAGAAAATTAATTGAAAGATTCTTACGTTTTCAATGTATGACAGAAAAAGCTTTTTTTTTTTAACATGTGTTGTGTAGTTAAGGGTATTGGGAGGTTGTCAAACAAAATAAATGTTAAACAATATTAGGAGATATTTACATATTTGTATTTTTGTTCCTTACATATGTGTTAGTAGAATCTTGTGTATTTATTAGTTTCTGCTTTCACGAGAAGTCCATATCCCTAATTGGCTAATCATATGTGTATATATATCGGCCACTGACTCTAAACAATAAGCAGAAAAGAAAATCTTATACAAAGTTATCAAAAAGATTATCATAGAAATGGCTATCACCAAAAAAATGCTTGTCGTATTACTTCTCACTATTCTTTTTGTCACATCGTCGGTTCTTTGTTCTGATAGCACTCTAGGTACAATCTTATTACACTCTCAATTTTATTTTTTGTAACGAACATATTTTTATTCTTTAGATGATTATAATGATTTGTTTAAATAGGTATTGGAATCAAGCAAGATTGGAAAAAATGCTTCGGTCCAGACCCGTGTATGAATGGAGGAGGAACCGAAGGATGCATGAAGTGGTGTAGAAAAAACATAAGCCTTTTATTGTATGGTGAATGTACTTCTAATCCTGCTCAATGTTGTTGTGTGACAAAATAATCTAAGCAAAGAGAGAATTTTTCTATAAAATAAAAATATCACTATTTTCATCTCCAAAAAATTGTGAGAAACCAGAATTTGTGGGTTTTTCTTCTCTCTAAATTTGATTTATCACTAGTTGATATTTAAAACGGATATTTTTAATCGTTTCTGTTTTATATAATATCAATTACAGAAAAGAACATCGCTAGTCTACATATATCGAAGTTATAATACACAAATCGTACCAAATCAAAGTTTTGACCAAAACAAAATAAAAAAAAAAAAGAAACTCGAGCGAATCTGCAAAATAAGTATAGAATTTTTTTATTTTTTTTTTGTCAAAGTACAAAATAAGTATAGAATAAAATCTGATGTCAAAAAAAAAAAAAATCTAGAGTAGTGATTGCCACCAAATATTGGAAGATTTATATTTTGTCACAAAATCTAGAATAGTTTAGTTTCATCGCTCTAAACAATTTCATCTTTGTATGTGATATGGTGCTTGAACCCTCTGTTTGAACCTTTGTGGCTGTAATCTTCCAATATCCTTCACCAAAATGAATTGCATCGTTAAGAAAATAGAATAACTTTGGTGGATAAACATGGTGTAAATCATTCCTGAAAAAAAAAAAAATCTATGAATCTACGGTTTGGAAAAAGTGAGAAAAGTATATTGCATATTTTGTAGTAATTCCACTATGATTAAATCATTGTCATATAAATTTCAATGAACAATACAAACTCATAGTTATTTGCTTTAGTTTGTGACCTTAACAATTTACAAACTCTAAAATTTACACAATATATATTTTTTTTTTGTGCAAGAAAATTTACACAATATATGTTCTCTTTTTTTTTAAGAAACACAATATATGCTATAACTAATACAAAGTAAGTAAATATAATTGAGCCCACATTTTGAGCCTAGATTGACCATTAAACATAAAAAACAAACCAAAGAACAGGAGGAGAACACTACTCTATCTCTAAGTTTTCATAGTGGCAGACCTTACAAACTTGCGAATATGTTGGTAGCGTTTTGGTGGAGTTGAGCTACAAAGCTTTGGCAGAGAATTTGTATATGGTTTGATAGACTTGTAGCAGATCTTTGGCAGACTGAAGGAAAACATGTAGTTATGGGTAAGGGCTGAATGATAAATATTAAACTAACGAAAAAAATATAAAGCAAATGGTAGAGCTGGAGTAAACGAGTAAAACATTTTCATCTATGATTATGCATAGTATAATGTTTTAGTTATATATCCTAAATCGATTTTACTAATTCTTCTCGTCTTAACTAAACTACAAAAAAAAAACATCACAAATTATTATAATATTTCCTACGAAAACTTTGGTTGGAAAATTTTCTTACCACTTAAGAAATTTGGACGAAAAGTAGAAGTAGAAAACAATTTGTGTTGTTAGAAAGTAGTTTAAAATTACTTACAAATTTTCTAGGAGACTTATATCCCTAAAAACTTAGATGGAAAATAATAGAAATTCGGTTGGAAAATATTGATATTTCGGACGGTAGAAATTTCTATGAAAAGTTTCGACCATTTTCCTACGAAAAAGTATGTAAATTAATTGTAGAAAAATTATTATTATTTTAAGGAATTAAGGATATGTAAAATATTTAAAATATTTTAAAGGTGATTTTGTTTATTTTTAATAGTTTTATAATTTATTAACTTATTTGAAAAATTCCTACTCACTAAGATATTATTGTTCTATTTAATTTTCTTTCAAAAAGTTAATTAGTTAGTGTAACTCTACACGTTTACTTTATTAAAGATGCGTTCAACAATTTGTATTGTCATCAAATGTCAAATTTGTGTTTTAAAACTCCTACAAATTCTAAATTTCTTGACTAACCACTACTAAATGAAATACTAGAACATCAGTCTCTTGGCAACAGAATAAATTTTAGTTTTAATATTTTTTTTTTCGTTTTGTAATATTAAAATAATTTGATTTTAAAAATTATTTTTAATTTTTAATTTTTAATTAAAATAATTTCTTTTTTCGGATGTTTTGGTAGAAAAAAAGAAATTGGTCTAAAGTTTTTTTCCACTTGCCATATTCTACCGTTTATCTATGATTTATACCGTAAAAACTTTGAGTATTTTCTTGTAGATTCTCTTTCAATGCAGGTTGCTTATAGAGCAACTAAACTTTGTTGATGTGATTTAAAGAAACAGGTGTGCATACACACTATTGGTAGTTTTTAATCCTAAAATTTCAAATGACTATTTTGGTATATAATCTGAAAATAATAATTTACCAAAGTATATAAGCAAAAAGACTATTTAAAAAATAACCATATTTTGTATAATAAACTACCATTATAAAATGAATTATAAATATAAATACTTTATGAAACTAAAGAATTAAAAAGAAAAAGAAAAAGAAAAATTATGCGTGTATGCGAAAGTACTAACCCCGGTTTAAATATATACATATTGTATCCATAATCTGATTCAAATAATTTTAAAAACTAAAATGTTTTTATTTTAAATTATATTATATTGTGGAAGCCATTTGTGTCAATGGTCAAGGGTTTATAAGTTTTTACATCAGGTTTGGGGTTCGATTTCCAAAAAGTACATTTTATTAAAGATTAATGGTGCCATTGGTGAATCAAGAAAATATTTTTACCTAGGACTTAATATATGAAATCACGAAAAAACAAACAAGAGAGCATCGGTGGGATTCGAACTCAGACTAAAAGTGGCAGAACAGTTTTTGCCATTTCAGCTAAAGAATTTGCTTATTAATTTTTAATAAAAAAACAAAAGCTTTTGTATATTTTATGGCCACTCTCTTACCGCATCGGCCTTTGAATGGTGCTATGAAAATTGGAAGTTATAGAGTTAGCGTTTGTCAATAAATATAAGATTATATATCAATATCCATGGTGATATAGTCTAGCTACCAAAGAAAAAAAAACAATATCATATTCAAAATTATCAATAATAAGATAATATATATTCCTTCCGTTTTACCAAGAGTGTCGCTTTAAGGTTTTATTTTTGTTTCACAAAGATGGTCGTTTTGTATTTTCATAAAAATTTATTTTTAACCATTTTTTAATATATTAAGAAAAGAGATAATTTTGTTTAGTGTATTGATAAGAGATATAATATAAAATTTCATAACTTTTTTAATATGTGTGAAAAATATAAAATAACATTCTTTATGAAATAGAAGAATATATATATTTGAAAATTTAAGAAAATCTCAATTAAGTAAACCTCATCTGGTTGGTGTGTATATAGGAAGTTTCAAATGCACCGAACGCAGATAGACACAAAATACAGAAATAAATTAAATAATAGTAATTAAAAACGACAAATATACTAGTAATCTAAATTAGTCTATATACAGAGAGATAACACACTTATACAGAGAAGCTCTTACAACTTGGGACTCTCAGAGAAGAAAAAAAACACCAAAAAAAAAAAAGAGAGAGATTTGAGATGGAAAACGGAAACTCCTCCGGCGACAACAAGTCTTCACGTAAGCCGATCCGATGCAAAGGTTAGTGAAGAGAAAAGTTTCTCAAAATTCATTAAGTATCTTAACGTTGACTAGAACTAATGGCGTTGACTTTATGTTTCTATGGGCAGCGGCGGTTAGTAGGAAGGCCGGAGAACCGTTGGTGATGGAAGAAATCATGGTGGCGCCGCCGCAGCCTTACGAGGTTCGGATCCGAATAATCTGCACCGCGCTATGTCACAGTGACGTCACTTTCTGGAAACTCCAAGTAGTGTACTCTTTCTTCTTCTCTTCTACGTTTTAGGCTTTCACACAAAACTGGTTTTAATATTTTACGTAACACATCCGTCTGAAACCGATATGTTTTCTTGTCGTGATATATTTGTCGAAGACACAAACATTGACTTATGATTAATTTTTAATTTTTAATTTTCTACGTAAGTTTCTGAATTCAATATACTCCAAATGTTCTTGGTTAAAGAAACGAAACAGACTCTAATGTTCAATGTTTCGAGGCATTTTTTTGTTTTTTTGCTAATTACTGACATAGACATAAAACTAAGATAGTTATTTTATCATTTTATGTAATCGGATCTACTTATTTTTTTATTTGTGGTTGTTGATACTGAACAGTCAGATTCATAAATTTTAGCATTTAGACTTTGCAAAACTGGTTTAATATTTTACGATTTTAGATAAGGTCCAACATTATTTCTTAACGTGACACAAAGTTGACCCAATTAGTTCACGGATTGACCAAAAGATACTTAACAAATCTGAACTAATGTCTAATTTTTGATTTGCAACGTTAGTTCTTTTCTTTTGGTACTCACAATATTTAAAAAAAAAACGAAAAGAAACAAAACAGACTCCAATGTCCAATATTGCCAGGCATTTTTTTTGTTTTTTTGCCAATTACTGACATGACTTATAAACCAAGATAGATATTTTAATATTATATGAAATCTGATTTTATATTTTATATATTTTTTGTGGTCGTTGATACTGAACAGTCAGATTTACAAATTTTTGTCATGTTTCCGCAGGTTCCTCCAGCCTGCTTTCCGAGGATTCTAGGCCATGAGGCAATAGGGTTAGTCTACGTCTCATCCTCTAACCTTTTTTTATTATTATTGTATCGAATCATTTGCATAAAAGAGAGTATGTTTTTGGGAGATTGACACAAATAGGCCCAAAAAAGTTGTTTTTTCCAAAAATAGTACCTCATTTGAAAAGTTCCACAAATAGCACCATAAACTTCAATTAAACTTAATGAAAATATAAGATAGAAAATAAAAAAGAGAGCAAACACTAATCTAATATTAAATTGAATCAAAATTGTTTTAAATAGTGGAAATATATACCCTAATTTGGAAATAAGGAACCCAAATATAATACCACAAACTAATATTAAAATAAAAATCTCTTTTAAATGGTGAAAATATATACCCTAAATTGGAAATAGGAAACCCAAATATAATACCATAAACTAATATTAAAATGAATCAAAATCTCTTTTAAATGGTAGAAATATATACCCTAAATTGGAAATAGAGAACCCAAATATAATATTTTAAATTTATTTCTAATTTATTTTGTTGAATAGCTTTTATATAAAAGTTGTGGTATTATTGAAAAAAAAAAGCTAGTGATAAAATTGTTAGAACAAAAACACTAATAGTAAGTTAACTAGTGCTATATTTGGAAGTTTATGGAGTGTGTGCTATTATTGTCAACATTGTTTTAGGGCCATTTTTAGGAATTTCTCTATGTTTTTAACGTTAGGCTGCAAAATAATTAGCTTTTACAAATCGGAAACCGCAGAAATTAAATTGAAACCAAACGGTAAAATAGAATGGTCAATCCTATATATGTAGCTTAAAATTAGAAAAATAAAAGATAGTAGAGGAAGAAAATTATCGTGAGATATAGAGAAAGAAACATGGTAGATATAGCCAGAAAAATGTTTCAATTTGTGCAAAGTTTTATATTTTGGATTTCTTACCGTTGAACCCACTAATCAACATTTTTACACCATTACTAGGATAAACTAGTAACGAACACTAAGTGGTCGAGCCATTGGACTATAAAATCCCTTGCCAGTTAGTTCTATCTTTCTTTCTTTCTTTTTTTTTTTTTTTTCTTTTTTTTTAAAATTCTCTTTGTGAAAAAAAAAAGATTTTTCCTCTATCCTTTTTCGTAGAGCTAATTTTCAATGACATTCGGTTAGTAGATCCTCATTTCAAACCTCACGTGGGAGGTTACACAACAAATGGGTTTGTTGGACTTTTTTAGTCGGCTAACGTTATGAGACTTTCATTGAATAAGTTAGATGTATACATCCATTATTGTTAGTCAATCAACACAAACATATATATTTATGACAGTTTATAGGGATTTGTGTTCATTAAGTAATTATAGATGTCTATGTAAATGTTAGCACGTAGAATGCTAGAATGAATGATTTGAAAAATTATTCAAAGAAAAAAAAAATAACCATCCAAACCAAATTACGTGTAGGTTTTTATGAGGTTCAGTTCTAATAAAACTGACCAACCAAAAACCAAAGAAAATTGTAACCAAGCAAACGAAAAACTCATAAAGCGGAAATTAAAAAAGTCAAATCGGAATCAAAAGACAAAACAAAATGTCCACTTTTCTGTTGGCTCGCCTAAAATTGAAATAAAAATAAAAAGAACGATACTGGTGCAAAAAAATTGAAAGAGAAAAAAGGAATTTATCGTAAGAGTTCCATACATGAAAAAATATCTTAACAACAATTTATGCAAAAAAAAATGTATATTTGGGAAGAAAGAGGAGGACACCGTCGAAGACACTTTGCACTCAAAAGTACTCTTTGATCATTTTCTTGAATTGACATTTTTATAAATTACTTATTAATTTTTTTTGAAATGTGATTTTTTGTTACTATTTGAAACTTACGTTATACAAACTGGTTAACAACTTTTTTTATTGTCTTAATTTTTTCATACTATTCTAACTTTTAATATCAAACAATTTTCCTATAGCAACTTACACACCACTAACACCAGCATAAAGAATATTGCAAGATATCTAAATCAATAAAAAATCATAATAACCCCTAATACATCCAAACTTACACTTCAAAACGTTTTTAAAAACACAACCTTTTTAAAACAATGACAAATATTAATGTTAGTGAAATTTGAGTATGCAGAGTAGTAGAAAGTGTGGGTGAAAATGTGAAGGAAGTGGTAGAAGGAGACACCGTACTACCAACGTTCATGCCTGACTGTGGTGATTGTGTTGATTGCAAATCTCACAAAAGCAACTTATGTAGCAAATTTCCCTTCAAGGTATCGCCTTGGATGCCAAGATATGAAAATTCCAGCAGATTCACCGATCTCAATGGCCAAACTCTCTTTCATTTCTTGAACGTCTCCAGCTTCAGCGAATACACTGTTCTTGATGTCGCTAACATTGTTAAGATCGATTCTTCGATTCCTCCTAGTCGTGCTTGTCTCCTCAGCTGTGGAGTCTCCACCGGTATATCACTAATATTGAAAAGGAAATTATTCAAGTTTGTTACTCTTTGATTTTGATGGAGTTAGATGATTGTTCTTTAGGTGTTGGTGCTGCTTGGGAGACCGCTAAAGTTGAACAAGGATCAACCGTTGTGATTTTCGGACTTGGTTCTATCGGATTAGCGGTAAACTTACAATTTCTAGTAATGATCATGTACAAATCAATCGTCTTGAATATTATGAGTTGTTCAAATGGGTTAGGGTTTGGATATTATGTTTCTAGGTTGCAGAGGGTGCAAGACTTTGCGGTGCCTCTAGAATCATTGGTGTGGATATAAACCCTGCCAAATTCCAAGTTGGTTAGTCATGAATTTCTTTATTCAATAGTTATTTTGCATAAATCTCTATACCTTGTATATTTTTCTATATATTAAAAATGAATTATATAATTGTTTTGAACATCAACTTTTTGCAGGCCAGAATTTTGGAATTACCGAGTTTGTAAACTCTATGACATGCGAGAAAAAGCGTGTTAGCGAGGTAATTGCACATAATATATACGTTAGTCGAAATAGATAAACATATAACTTTTATACTTTTGTGTTTAGGTGATCAATGAGATGACTGGTGGGGGAGCAGACTATTGTTTCGAGTGTGTTGGAAGTAGCTCTTTGGTTCAAGAAGCTTATGCTTGTTGCAGACAGGTATTGTTGCATTGATCTCTACCTAAAACCAAAGTAGAGCTAGATTTCGAAATACAACAAAGAAGTAGGAAAACATTTGACGGTTTTTATTGGTACAATCAACGTTTAGGGATGGGGAAAGACGATAACTTTAGGGGTGGACAAGCCGGGTTCACAAATATGTTTAGACTCCTTTGATGTTCTTCATCATGGGAAGATTCTCTTGGGTTCGTTGTTTGGAGGTTTGAAGGCTAAAACACACATTCCTCTTCTTCTAAAACGCTATTTGAGCAATGAGCTTGAATTGGATAAGTTTGTGACACATGAGATGAAATTCGAGGAGATCAACGACGCATTCCAGCTACTTCTTGAAGGGAAATGCATCAGGTGTGTCTTGTGGATGGGCTAAGTGAATTGACTTATTTTATCTTTCCATCTTTTGCATCAATTTCATATGTTTCATGTTTAACTATTTTTATTGGTTTATAATCAAAACAAGCAAATGCCAAAGCGCAGGGAAAATAAAATGTCAATGGACTATAATGAAAATAAGCAAAGGACAAGAAATTGTTTATTCATCTTATGGTATTGTAATCTGTACCTTATTTTATTGCCAAATTGCCATGTTAGTGTCAAAGGACATTTTGAAATACCACATTACCAATGTTTCACCAAACGCTTGAATCTTATGATCTTGAGCCCTCTATTCCGCAAGTACTCCCCGCCTTTCCAACATCTTCATTACCAATTTTATCGTTGACTTCTATGGTACCAACAATTTAAAGATTTGATAAATATATCAAAATTCACTTAAATATGTAATAGTTAAAGAGTATTACCTTCATAATCTACAAAACATCGTAACCAATTACGAGTGCAAAGTAAAGTTTGTACATTCTTTGGAAGTAAACGGTTTGTATATGGAGACCTAATCTAATTTACTATAATTGTTTGATTAAATTCTTATCTACATTCGTTTCTTTCGTTCATTTTTTTTTTGTCATTTTCATTAAGTTAAAGATAAAAGGTATGTAAACATATCTCGTGCAAACAAATAAAATTAGATAATCTTCTTATTTTCTTCGGATTTGATTACTCTTTAGGCTATAGAGTATTAATTGACTGCCAAGAAGCAGAGCATGGCGAGGTTGTCTACGGGATGTTAAAGCTGGGGCAACATCAATGGAAAAATGGTTGACTGTGGTGGGGTATCCATAAGTCCTGACCATCCCAGAATAGTTAGTGTTTTGTGTCAATGACTTTCTTTACTTTGGAGGATACACAGTTGGTGAATCGAGCTTGATCGTCTTTAGTTTCGTTATTAAAAAGTTTTGCTTCATTACAATCCCAGTTAATAATGTGTTCGTCCCATTCGTTTTAGGCAATTTAATTGTAGGGAGATTGACACAAATAGCCCCCAAAAAGTTTTTTTTTCCAAAAATAGCACATCATTTGAAAAGTTCCACAAATAGCACCATAAACTTCAATTAAACTTAATGAAAATATAAGATAGAAAATAAAAAAGAGAGCAAACACTAATCTAATATTAAATTGAATCAAAATTGTTTTTAAATAGTGGAAATATATACCCTAATTTGGAAATAGGGAACCCAAATATAATACCACAAACTAATATTAAAATAAAAATCTCTTTTAAATGGTGAAAATATATACCCTAAATTGGAAATAGGTAACCCAAATATAATATCATGAAATAGGTAACCCAAATATAATATCATAAACTAATATTAAAATGAATCAAAATCTCTTTTAAATGGTGGAAATATATACCCTAAATTGGAAATAGAGAACCCAAATATAATATTTTAAATTTATTTCTAATTTATTTTGTTGAATAGCTTTTATATAAAAGTTGTGGTATTATTGAAAAAAAAAACTAGTGATAAAATTTTTAGAACAAAAACACTAATAGTAAGTTAACTAGTGCTATTTTTGGAAGTTTATGGAGTGTGTGCTATTATTGTCAATATAACTTGTTTTAGGGCCATTTTTAGGAATTTCTCTTAATTGTATGAAGCCGTTTTTTTTAATAGAGTAGACTTTTTTTGTACATAGACATATTGAAGAAAATCGCCTCGAAGTTTAGTCTTTCGACGCACATATTATTCCCAATTCCTAGAATTTGATTTAGTTTCTTAAAAATATATACATTTCCCAATAATATAGAAATCTTATAATATATAACATTCTATTAGCAATTACATGATACATTTTTTTTTTTTGGCAATCATGCTCAAACCTCAAACAAGAAACATACAGTCTGGTTTACACTAATGGTCCAACATGAAGTTATACACAACAAAAACACAACACTAAAAAGCCCACAGTGTTTAAAGCAAGCCCAATAAGGAGTTTTCTTCGAATTTTGAGACTCTTGCGTATCCGCTAGTATCACGACTGGATATGTGATAACACACGTAGACGAACCTCAAGCAATCACTCAAACTCATGACTTCTCTTTAATCCTCCTCCAAAAATCTCAAATCGCAGAGAAGAAGAAGAAACAAAACCTCCTTCAAATTCAATTCAAAGATCCTTCCTTTTTCACCTCTTTCTTCTTCAAAATCTAATTTTGATTCTTCAGAGAGCTTCAATGGCGACCACATCTTCAAACCCATTACTACTTTCTTCAAATTTCCTCGGTTCTCAAATCATAATCTCAGCTCCAACACCAAAAACCACCACAAAGTCTCTTCCTTTCTCAGTTATCTCTCGAAGAAGATACCAATCGGAGAAGCTAATGAAATCTTTGCCATCACAAGCTGCGTTAGCGGCTCTGTTGTTCTCATCTTCGTCTCCACAAGCTTTAGCAGTTAACGAACCGGTTCAGCCGCCTGCTCCGACCGTTACTGTTGAAGCTCAGTCACCAAATCTGTCGACTTTTGGTCAGAACGTTTTGATGACAGCACCGAATCCACAAGCTCAGTCATCGGATCTTCCTGATGGAACACAGTGGCGATACAGTGAGTTTCTAAATGCTGTGAAGAAAGGTAAAGTTGAGAGAGTGAAATTTAGTAAAGATGGTTCTGTTCTTCAGCTAACAGCTGTTGATAATCGTCGTGCTACTGTTATTGTACCTAATGATCCGGATTTGATTGATATCTTGGCGATGAATGGTGTCGATATATCGGTTTCAGAAGGAGAATCTGGAAATGGGTTGTTTGATTTCATTGGTAATTTGCTTTTTCCGTTGCTTGCTTTTGGAGGGTTGTTTTATCTCTTTAGGGGAGGTCAAGGAGGTGCTGGTGGTCCTGGAGGTTTAGGAGGTCCTATGGATTTCGGTAGATCGAAATCGAAGTTTCAGGAAGTGCCGGAAACTGGGGTGACATTTGGGGATGTTGCTGGAGCTGATCAAGCTAAGCTTGAGTTACAAGAAGTTGTTGATTTCTTGAAGAATCCTGATAAGTATACTGCTTTAGGTGCTAAGATTCCTAAAGGTTGTTTGTTGGTTGGTCCACCGGGTACGGGGAAGACGCTTTTGGCTAGAGCTGTGGCTGGAGAAGCTGGAGTGCCGTTCTTTTCGTGTGCTGCTTCGGAGTTTGTGGAGCTTTTTGTTGGTGTGGGGGCTTCTAGAGTTAGGGATTTGTTTGAGAAGGCAAAATCGAAAGCTCCTTGTATTGTGTTTATTGATGAGATTGATGCTGTGGGTAGGCAAAGAGGAGCTGGAATGGGTGGTGGAAATGATGAGAGAGAACAGACGATTAATCAGCTTTTGACTGAGATGGATGGGTTTTCTGGTAATTCCGGTGTCATTGTGTTGGCTGCGACCAATAGACCGGATGTTCTTGATTCCGCATTGCTGAGACCCGGTAGATTTGACCGGCAAGTCACAGTGGATAGGCCTGATGTAGCTGGAAGAGTCAAGATCCTGCAGGTTTACTTTCTTTCCATGATTGGTTATGCTAAACAATGGAGAAATATGATGATTAATGTTGTGTTGGTTTATTGCAGGTGCATTCTAGAGGGAAGGCTATTGGGAAGGATGTGGATTATGAGAAGGTTGCGAGGAGAACTCCGGGTTTCACTGGTGCTGATTTGCAGAACCTGATGAATGAAGCTGCGATTCTTGCAGCTAGACGTGAGCTTAAGGAGATAAGCAAAGACGAAATATCTGATGCTCTTGAGAGGATCATTGCTGGCCCTGAGAAGAAGAATGCTGTTGTCTCTGAGGAGAAGAAAAGACTTGTTGCTTATCATGGTTAGATACTACTGATCCAAGCTTCTCCATTTTCTTTTTTGCTAGTGTTGTCCACTCACTGTTCAATAAAATTGGAATCTGCAGAGGCTGGGCATGCTTTAGTGGGTGCACTTATGCCGGAGTACGATCCAGTGGCCAAGATATCGATTATTCCACGTGGTCAAGCTGGTGGGCTCACCTTTTTCGCCCCTAGCGAAGAGAGACTTGAGTCTGGATTGTATAGCAGAAGCTACCTTGAGAATCAAATGGCTGTTGCACTTGGTGGAAGGTTAGTTGACAACCGAATTGCGCTGGTTTTTTATTTACAAGAATAGACTCCCAAGTGTTAAACAATCTTTATTATGTTTCGCCTATGATAGGGTTGCAGAAGAGGTGATCTTTGGAGACGAGAATGTGACAACCGGAGCATCAAACGATTTCATGCAGGTGTCACGAGTGGCTCGCCAAATGGTTGAGAGATTCGGGTTCAGCAAAAAGATTGGACAAGTTGCAGTTGGTGGAGCAGGAGGAAACCCTTTCTTGGGTCAAAGTGTAATATTTCTAAACTCAGTACTCGGGTTTTCATCATTTAGTATCAATGTTTTCATCTCTCAAAACATGTTTTGTTTATGTTTGCTTGCAGATGTCATCACAGAAGGATTACTCAATGGCAACAGCGGATGTGGTTGATGCAGAAGTGAGAGAGCTAGTGGAGAAGGCGTACGTGAGGGCGAAAGAGATCATAACAACACAAATTGATATCCTACACAAGCTTGCACAGCTCCTAATTGAGAAAGAAACTGTGGATGGAGAAGAGTTCATGAGTCTTTTCATTGACGGACAAGCTGAGTTGTATGTTTCTTAAGTAAAAAATAAAAGATCGGTTTGTAAAATACATTTAGCTTCAATCTATACATACTGTATGTTAATATACATTGACATGTTCAGAGACAGTTTATTTTTCTTGTTTAACTTTGGTGCCCCTAAATACCATCATGTTCTGTCATCATTTCTTCCTCTTTGTTGGAGGTTGGTCTTGGCTCTGTATCAAAGCACAACTCGCTGAAAACAGTACGACCACCTACACGTGATCCTAGGCAGAGTAATCCACTAACATATTCACAAGAGTTTATGCTCATTTTTCATATACAATTGTTGTCCTCTATGCCTTGTACTAGTCGCATACAACTTGTGCTTATAGGCCTCGTACCAGTTACTAAACGTTCATACAAAATGAACAAATTTATAGCTTTAGAAATGCTCAAAATACATATCGTTAGTCGCTAAAATGCGACTAAAAACAGTGTAGATTTGTTGCAAGTGACTAGTGAGATACAGATTTTGCGATTGATTTCGTCGCAAAATATTTTGATCCACACTTGATAAAATCAGTAGCTCTTTTTCATTATTTGATTTTTATTAATTGAAAAATGTTAAACAAAAACTCATCGGAAGATGAAAGTGGATTAGAACTGTATGTCTGTATGACATGTAGTGGTTTCTCGATTGGCTAGACCAAGTCCACTTGGTTGTCGATCCTTGGAAACACGAGTTTTTGTCCACATCTCAAGATCCACTCTAAAGTATTATAAAACATTTGCTTACTTAACGTGTACGTCTTCTGATCATGGCACGTGGAAGGTAAGTAAACGTGTCTTGAAACCACTCTTATTACAAATAGACAACCAACAGTGTCGACATCAAGACATTGTAATAATGGAAGAAGAGCACAAAAAAGAAGAAAAAAGTGATAAGTACGAGCCTCAACAGCACCAGCCACCGTATATCTCGCAGATGCAGCCGGTGACGCACGAAGCTTACGGAGGTGGCCTTTACGGTCATGACGACGAGAAAGAGGCAAATAATTTAGAGAAAGAGGCCAAGAATGTAGAGAAAGAGCCTCGGCAGCATCACATACCTGCCAGCGAAACACAGAGCGCAGATGGACCTGATGAGGTAAAGACGTTGACGCCGAAGCACAAGCAACCAGCTTCTTCCGGCGATAGAGACGTTGACATCACTGGCCAGTCTTACATTCAATGAAGAACTATAGTACTTTCTTGTGTTGTAATGTCTTTTGGATTTCTTTCTTTCATTGTCTTTTCTTGACTTTTCTTAGAAGCAAGCAAGTTTTTTTTTTCTTTTTTTTTTTTCTGATTCACATCTAATCAAAACCGATATACAAGCATTAGGGGTAATTCGGAAGATGAGAAACATTTGGAGAAAAAGCACATGAATACAACCTATATAGACTTTTATAGTACAAACATGGAGATTATAGGCCAACGTTGTACAAGCTGCAAAGTATTGCCAGAAACCAATCAGACAGTTTAGGAGGGTTTTAAAACCATTGGCAGTCAAATGTCATATTACCACATATTTGTAGTTATCAGGTTTTACAACATACTTATGTCTTTTTTAGATGCCACATGGTTTAGATGAGTTTATGCAGGTATCCAAATCAACAACACTCCTTCAGCTCAGCTCCTTCGAATAGCCTGGGACCGAAGAAACAAGCAAATAACGATTCAGCTGATAGAAAAATTGAATCAAAATCACATTACAACGATGCGGGAAAGAGCAGGGAACGAGCAGACGTTCATTGACACTAACTATTGTCTACCTTAAGTTACCATATGAGTAACATAAAAATGAATGGAATGTGTGACGACAGCTTTACATTAATGTTTCGAAACTGCTATGGAATGAGACAAACAAAAAGTCTCAAATGATTAAGCAGCAGAAAACATGAGAGTTAAATTGCATATGGAAAGGCATAGAGAGGATATTTAGAATCTCATTTCAGCTAACAATCATGTTCCAGTCGAGACCAGATAATATATGAATGAGAGGGAAAAGAGGTTCATGTCACTCTCAAGACCTTCCAATTACACAAAGGATTAGGAAAGACCAAAAGACATTTGAGTAGAAGAAGAATGATCATAGAGAATCTTTTCAACCAATCTGATTCATTCCGAGCAAAATGTCCTAGTTTTAGTTGACCGACTTTCTTAATTGTGTACTAAAGAAGCCTAACCATATCTATCTATGATTTGGATGCTCTGAAACCATTCCAATAAAAACTTTGCACTCTGCTTTTCACAGGTCAGCGACTAACTACAACGTCTGAATTTTGCCAAAATTTCTGGAAAATCATAACTTTAAGCTAACATATAGGCTACTCTATGGGGAAATAGACAGCAGAAATAGAGGATTGAACAAAGTTGTGATGTACCAACCAACTTTCTTCTTTAAAGAAGCCAAACCATATATAGCTACGCTTTGGATACTGTGGAACAAAATCAAAAACCTTAAGAAGCTTCAGGTTTTTATAACAATAGCTTTTGACGAACACAACTAAAGCTTTAGAATTATACTTTTCACAGGTCTGCAACTAACTACAACCTCTGAATTTTGCAAAATTTTCCTAAAAAAACCAAAACTTTAAGCCAACATATAGGTCCATTATTCACTTATGTCGTGTCTTAGAGTTTACTTACAACAAAATAACCAGTTTTGCGTTTTGATGAAAAAGGCTTTTGTCTGTTCCAAAATACCAACTAAAGCTTTGGATTCTCCTTTTTCACAGGTTGTGACTGACTTACTAACTAAAATTTCCGAAAGAAATTAAAACTTTCAAGCCAAAACATAGGTCTCAATTATCCGCTTATGGCCTCTCTTAAGAGTTTAATCACTACAAAATCAAACCCTAAAAAGCTTCAAACTTTTAAGAATAATGGCTTTTCAAGGTTCCAAAATTCCAATCAAATCTCAAAATATTGCAATTCACAGGTCCGCAACTAACAACAACATCTCAATTTCAAACTTAAAAGCCAAACACAAAGATCCTTAATCAATCAAATCGCATAACACAAAAACGAAAGATAATCAAAGTAATCACATACAAAAGAGAGATGCAAAACCTAGTTGTAGTAAAGCTCGAGACCCATCCCATCGTGAATCTCATAGTCCTTGAGAGTGATATGATCCTTGTAGATGTTGTACCACTTCTGAATTCGGATCTTCTCCGCTCGTGTTCCGGTTTGTGCCGCAACAAGCTTCTTCAGATCACCGATTGTGTCATCTTCGTTACACTTAACCCTAACTTTCTTCCCTAAACGATCGTTGAGAACCACCTCGATCATCTTCTTCGCTCTTTCTTCAATTACAAACCCTAGCCCCCAATTTTCTGATCCTTCGAAAAAGTGGAGTGTAGAAGATTCTTAGCGTTAAGGATCGTCGTGACTTTTTTTATATAGACTTTTTTTTTTTTTTTCTTATGTCGGTTAATTTTATATAGAGACTTTGTAATAGATTTATTGAAAAGTAACGTTGAATAGCCAGAGATCTCGAAAACGCCGGAAATTTAAATAACCACTAGAGAATAAATAGATGTTGCTTCGAAAAACCTTCAAGCCAAATAACCCACGGAAACTCAAAATCAACTGACTATTTCAACATGTATCTTCATCATTATGTTAGATCGTCACGAGCCGGCTGAATAAATGAGATGAATCTAAGGTTTTTAGTAGGGTTGGGCATAAAATCCGAAATCCGAAAACCGAACAAAAAAATCGGGTTCCAAAACCGAACCAAATAGTTATAAAACCAAAACGGATAATGTATTCTCCTATCCAAATTACCCGAACCGAATTCGATCCGAACTGAAAGCCGAAAGGATATCCGTAAATTCAAAATAAAGTTATATATCCAAAAATAGTTGTTATATTTACTTATAATTTTATACTCAAAAATTCTATATAACCAAAAAATATCTTAAATAACCTAGATATCCGAAAATGTTTAGTTATATTTGTTAAATTTATATAATTTTTAAGATATTTAATCAAATTTTATTAAAATTAAAAAAAAAATTTAGGTTTTTTTCCCAAAACCGATATGAGCCCGACACTATGTGAACCGAAATCAAACCAAAAAGTTATAAAACCCGAACGGATAATAAACACTCCTATCCGAATTATAAGTATTCGAGAAAATCCGAACCGAATCTGATCCGAAATCCGAAATCCGAATGTCTATCTTTTTTAGAGTGAAACCGTCGGAGATGATAATCGGGACTCTAATGTCGATTTTATTTATTTATTTCTTTTTCTTTATTTACTTAATTATTTTAGAGTCAATTAGTTTCATAACACTTTTTAAAAAATAATTGAGAAATAGAAGAAACTTTTTCGGTATTTGCAAGTGAAGAGAGAGAAAATTATGGTTACAACAAATGATGGACGAAAATATCCTTTAAATTAAAAGCAAGAATTTTTCGTAAGGGACAAATATGTGAGATAATCTACAGTGGGTCACCACTTATTAAATGCATACATCGATAGTATGTTCTACTACGGAGTTAAGTGTCGTGATATTTTATTTTTTCTCGGATACAGAGGTACATATCATATATCGTAATATTCTATTAATATTGTTTACATATGATATATCACTATATATCATGATATATCATTATATATTATGATATAGCAAAATATTTTATGATATATCAATATATACCATAACATATATCATGATATATCAATATATATTATGATTTATGTTAAAATATCGTAATATATAAATATGTATCAAGGTTTATAAATATATCTTATGGTATATCGAAATCTGATATAGTGGTGGTGATGGGGAGGGAGAGTCTGTTGGCAGACGGCGAAGGTGGGTGACTGTTGTGGATATGATAGGTGAGTGAAGTAAATTAGACATTGTAGTGGTTATAGTGAATTGTATGTTAGTGTCGGAGGAGGTGATTATTATGTGAATGAAGAATATGTTGCGCTGGAAGAGAAGGTGGTGATGGTGATGGGGATGAAAATTATATTGGCAATGATATAAACGAGACTATGATGACAAATAAATTGTGTGGATGTCGGATTCACACACTCAAATATTTATTTATTTAGTGAGAAAGATTATTCTTGAGGACAAAAACTGATATGTAAATAGCTTATGAATCGGTATGAAAATGGCTATAGTCTATTTGCTAGAAAAATTGCCTCCCCTTTACATGGCCCTTGACCCTCTTACTTATACTAACAAACGACATTTAACTCCTAATTAAATATAATTATTCTCTCTTAAATGTGTCCGTTTCAGTCTTTGAGTTTAATGCTCAAATGTTCGAATTTGAATTGATTCCGATCTTCATGGGCCTCACCTTTCAGCCCAAATAATCTCGAACCGAACTATCCGTGACTTCGATTCCGTTCCCACCTCGCGGTGTGACCACTTCGCCCGTATCTTCCTCTTGATCTAAGGGTCTTATGGGCCTTATCTCTCGTGGGCTTCCCCTCCGCTTATGTGGCAATCTTTGGTTGGTCCCGGACTACTGGTGCGGGATCCGACACCAACAAATTGGGAGACAAATATGCTTAACCATCACTAAACAATGATAGTGTCGTCGGTTGACGGTGTCTCAAATCATCTCTAACAGAAGCTTAATAATAACGAACGATACCACATTCGTCTCATGACATCTTCGTATCGAGAGTTCTATGAGGTTCATAATATGCATTTTGATCAGAAAAATCTAATCAATTTAATGAATTCAAAATATCATAATTTAGAACGCAATCAATTTAAGAAAATTAGAAGAGTCAAATGTTGGATTTTTTCGTAAAGTAAGGTTCTAAATGGTAACCGCTGAATTCGGCTTAATTGCTGAATCTACCTGAATATATTAGTGATTTTTTTGCTGAATCTAGCTGAATAATGTTAAGTTGAAATGGTAACCATTGAATCTAACTGAATTTTTGAAAAGTAATAATATAATTAAGCTTATAAAAATATTAATTAAAGAAATTTTGTTGTAAATAATATTAGTTAAATAAATAGATGCAAATATTTAATTAAAATTTGATATTTTTAATAAGTTTACTAAAACATAAAGGGTTGGCTGATTTTATAGCCATAAACTAGTTGCATTTCAACATGTACTTTCGGCTCCTGACAATTCCACCATTAACTTAGATAATTCTCACAATTTCAACATGTACTTTCGGATTCATCCTTAAAAATACGCCTCCAATTGAACCGGTCATTAAACCGGGATTAACCACAAATCTGGGTTTACTGTACCGCGATTGCTATTAACCCGAGTAAACACCCATTACCCGTTAAGAAAACGACGTCGTTTTCATTTTGATAAATCTCAAATCGGGTTTACGAATCGTCATTGTTAAATCTCAAATTAGGGTTCGTGTGAGAAAAAGAGAAAAGGGGATTTGGGGATTTTGGGATTTCTGGGTTCTCGAATCTTAAATCTAGGTGGGAATTAGGGTTTCGAATAGGTTTTTGATTCAATTTCGATTCAATGAAGAATTGGTGGGATGAAGGGTTGGTTTATCAAAGCGATCCAGATGACCCCGATTTCGATCCTCCAGACAGTGCTCTCGAAGCCGACGGTGGAAGCGATAGCAGTGAAAGCGGAGTTGAGGGCGATTGTGAGAGTGACAGAGAGAATGATGACAGAGAGAATGATGGAGACGACGACAGAGCCGATGGAGAAGATGACAAAGCCGCTGGCGAAGACGACGAAGGTGATGGAGAAGATGACAGAGCCGATGACGGAGCTGAAAGCAGTAAGAAGAGGAAGAGGGGAAAAGAGAAGAAGGATGTGCCAGAAGATGATTTGGCCGAGAGGTTTGGGTTCGAGATAGAGGAAGCAGTAGCTAATTGGTTTGATGAGTTTCAGATTCGAAGGAATCAAATTCCAGAAGATGAAAATGAAGATGAAGATCCTGTGATCACTAGAGATAGGAAAATTAGGTTAGCTTCGGATGATAAGTTAGCTATAGGCAGAACATTCTTCACTGGTTTTGAGTTTAAAGAGACGGTGTTGCATTATGCAATGAAGCATAGGATAAATGCTAAACAAAGTAGGTGGGAGAAGGATAAAATTAGCTTTAGGTGTGCACAAAGAAAGGAGTGTGAATGGTATATCTATGCCTCATATGATAATGAGAGGCAGTTGTGGGTTGTAAAGACCAAATGCTTGGATCATGTGTGTACCTCTAATGGAAAATGCAAGCTGCTGAAGAGGAGAGTGGTTGGGAGATTGTTTATGGATAAACTAAGTTTGCAGCCTAATTTCATGCCTCTTGACATTCAGAGGCATATCAAGGAGCAATGGAAGCTGGTTAGTACTATAGGACAAGTGCAAGATGGAAGACTACTAGCTCTGAAGTGGCTGAAAGAAGAATATGCTCAACAGTTTGCTCAGCTCCGAGGATATGTGGCAGAAATCATGACTTCAAACCCACGATCAACTGCAATTGTTGATACCATTCCTTATGCCACATGGAATGATGTCTTTAACCGGATATATGTATGTCTTGGAGCAATGAAGAATGCATTCTACTACTGTAGGCCACTCATTGGGATAGATGGAACATTTTTGAAGCATGCGGTTAAAGGATGTCTGTTCACTGCTATTGCTCATGATGCTAACAACCAAATTTATCCAGTGGCTTGGGCAACTGTTCAGTCTGAGAATGCAGACAATTGGTTCTGGTTTTTGAATCAGCTCAAGCATGACTTGAACCTAAAGGATGGCAGTGGCTATGTGGTCATATCAGATCGTTGCAAGGTATGTATTCTCTTATGTGTCATTGTTTTATTATGTGTAGATGATAGTGCTTTATAGGTGCTAATGTGTAATAATTATTTGTTTAGATTTTCCTCAAAATAAACTTCACAATACATTATTCTGAAATATATATAAGAAATTCACTAATGAAATGCATCCCATTATTGTTGTTTGATTCTTTCTCGTATTGTTAGCATATGTGCTGCATCTGTTAGTCCCTCTTGTTCCTACAAGAAACTTGCTTCTACATTTACTATACAGTCTTCGTTTTTATGAACTTGTTCATCTGCGATTGCATTAGTATGCAAAGCATCATCAAAATCAAAATCAGGAATTTGAGAAAGATTGAAAGTTATCCAACCTAGCAGTGGTTATGATTAATTTGTTTTGTGTCTCGATATCGTATCTTGGAAACTCTGATAAAATTCTCCATTTTTTCTTCCATACTCCAAATGTTCGTTCGAAGACTGAGCGAAGCGAAGAATGCCACCGATTAAATAACTCTTCCTCACCTCTAGGAAGGGATGCATCTTGAAAATGGCCCAAATGATACATATGACCTCTAAAAGCAGCTAAAAATTCTTGTGTGTTAGCATTACCATAATCAACGAGATAATATTTCAAGGGTGGATGAGTGGAAAATATTGGGTCACGCTCCATTGCATAAGACAAAACTCTAGCATCATGTACAGAGACATCCAACAAATATATAAGTGAATAACATATCCAAGTTGTATATTGCCAAAACATTGATGCTTGTCTGTGAATGCCTGTTATAAAACCGAGCCGCCTCAATACCATTCGCCATGACTGCACAATGAGTGCCATCCATTGCACCAATAAAATCACTGAAATAAGGCCAATAACGAATATCATCCCGTAAACCTCGAGGTACCTGACGCAGTTGTTCGGATGACTATTTCCGAAGAAATCTACCTGATAGTTTTGTGCATGTGCATGCTTTTAGGCATTCTTTAAATTTACGGCCAACCGTTTCTTGTGCATGCCCGAATTAAAGCCCAACTAAATGTTGTGTCATATTATGACCGCATATGACAAGAAACATTGCCACACTTTCTTCCACAAATATGTTTCTTGTGAATTTTAGTCCAAACTCAGTACGTAATGTTTCATAAAGACGTGTAAACATCTCAATCCGCATCCTTAAGAGGCGTAAGCAGTCTCTTGGATAATTATAAATCTTTGCTTCAATGTTGGACCAGCCTAAACCCCATTCAATCTCCATTGGTTGTCGACGATAATACTTTTTATAGTATTCTATCACAAGTTTGAAGAGTGCTTCCATAATATCTATATGCTCTAGAAAAATTAGTTCAAGTAGCTCATCTGCTATGAGATTTAGTAATCCATGTGAATGTAGTTCGATAATGCGAGAAACCTATACATAAATATAAATTTATTGTAGTAACACTTAGCCAAATTAAATACATAAACTGGTACCTTTTTTTATTAAATATAACTTACATTATAATACACATTAAAACCAAACTAATTATTCATTTAGTTATCGCAATGATTATCATTGTTTTGAAAAGTACGATTAAAGTCAGACAAATTAAAACGTTCGAGCAACTTGGCTGAAGACGCCGACCTAAACACTGAACCTTCACCTGATACAACTCTATGATTTGGAGAAACATTAAATGGTGGGTTGGTGTTTAAAACTTGAAATCTTTGTCTTCTGCTAAATTGGTTCGGAGAACCTGAAACACAAAATTGTGAAAATCCTCCAAGGTTAGACGAACAACAACCACCCAAATTCGGACTTCCTCCGATGTTTGTAAACCTACCACCAAATTGTGCAAATCCTCCCGCTCGTGGAGATCCTGATCCACTACCAACAGATCCTTACTACTTGGACCACTAGAACCACTGAGTTGCCGTTTCCACGGACTACCACGAAAAGTACCTGTGAGGTCATAACCTGTTATCCCTTCTAAAAAATGAATTCCCTCTTCGTTACTCCTAAGTAACACAAACCGTTTTTGCTCAAACGGGTCTCTCAAAATCTCCGATGATGCCCACCAAAAATCTGTAAATTTTTCAACGTCTTCTAGCTCATTTAGCTTTAACCAAGTGTCACGCTCATAATCAGTGGCGGATCCAGAACTTATTTTAACTTCGGGCACAATATAAATAAACATAAAATTATCTAAAAAAATACTAACATAAAAAAAGATTTTATAATAAAAAATATCTATAAAGCTATCCTATGTTCGCCCATACTCTGAAATCTTTTATTCACTACCTCATTTGTCACTTTATCAAATAATTCTCTTTCAACAAAACAAACTAGACAATCGTTTATAAATTGATCACCTATACAGTTGCGCAAAGTAGTCTTCACAATCTTCATTGCAGAGAAGCATCTTTCGACAGTAGCAGTGACTATTGGTAAAGTCAAAACTAGCTTCAAAAGTCGATAAACCTGAGGATGCAAAAGATGTTTCCTTGTCTCAATCATAACACGTGCAAAATCTCCTAGACTCTTCAACTTAGCAAATCTTACATCTTCCCGAATATTGTCAATGTAAAGACCAAGCTGATGCTCGAGTGATCTCCAATCGACAGGAGTAAAATCTTATGGATAAAACTCAGACAATCTCATAACTTTCAACTGATCAAACAATTGAAACGAATCAATAGGTCTTAAAGAAGCAACACAACCAAGTAATTCAGTGTTTACCTCATCGAAGCGATAATGAAACTCCTGAATTTGCATATCCAATACATTGTAAAACACTCCACTTGATAATGATGCAAGTTGGTCATGTTGCTTTTTTTTCTTGGCTTTCTTGGATCAACAAATGCTCCATCCATAATGACCAACTCAGTGTCATGATTCTCACAAAAGAAGAAACTTTATTAAGCAAAGAATCCCATCTATCATCTCTGAGCTTGCATAATTGTTGCTTGGTGGATTTCACTAGTGACACACAACATTCAAAATGTCTTGGTCTTTCTTTTGTAGAGCCACTGATAAACTATTTTTGAGTCTAAGAAGAAGCAACATCAACTGTAAGTAGAACACAAAGTCAAAAGTATTAAAGTACTTGAGAAGACCATTAGCTTGTCGTCTTTTGGTACTATCAGTTCCTTCCTCTTCAATATACTCGAGCACTTTAAGATAACAGAGAATAAATCAACTAACCGGAGTAATGTTGTGTAGTGAGTACCCCAACGAGTATTACCAGGTCTCTGTAGTGAAAGCTCCTGATTCAATCTTTTTCCAGTCTTAATTTCACCTTGATTGATTCCTTCCTCTATCTTTTTTCGGTATTCTTCTCGAATTATATCCTTTCTCTTACAAGAAGCTCCAACCACATTTAGCAAGACAAATCATATCAAAGAAATCTCCAACTTTAAAATGTTTTTTAGCAACAGCCACGATAACTAACTGAAGCTGATGAGCAAAACAGTGGATATAATAACCAAAACTATTTTTTTCTAAAAATCATAGATCTCAACCCATTGAATTCACCTTTCATATTGCTTACTCCATCGTATCCTTGTCCTCGTAACTGTTTAATACTCAATCCATGATTAGCAAACAATGAATCAACAACACATTTCAGAGATGCAGAAGATGTTTCTTTAACATGGATAAGACCAATGAATCTTTCTTTCACTTCCCATGTTTATCACCAAAATGAAAACCACTGCCATTTGTTTTTTATAAGAAACATCTGCAAATTCATCTACCAACAAGCAAAATACATCATGATCAACTTCTTGAATTATAGATTCAATAACTTCCTCTGCAAAGCAATGCACTATATCTTTATGAATTTTGGGACACACCATCTGATTATTTTTTGGAGCATTCTCCAACACAACTTTACTTACAACCTCATTTTGTCCTGCAGTATATTTCACAAGCTCTAAGAAATTCCCCCTATTAGTTGATTCTACTAACTCATCATGACTTTGAAATGGTAATCCTTGTCGTACTAAATATCTACAACAATCAATTGAAGCGTTCAATCTTATTATGTATTCATTTTTGACTATGTCATCTTGCTTATAAAAAGCATGAACAATTGATTGACCTGGATTCATCAAACAATCAGCCCTTTTTAATGCATTGTTGTGAAAGCTGTTCACCTATCCTACGTGCTCGCGTAAACTCAGAGGATTTTTCCAAGTATCGAAACCTTTCATCACAAACGCATCAGTTCCACTTTTATTTTCTGTGTAATCTTTGAACAAGTAGCAAAACAAACAATAAGTTTTGCTTTTTTCACACTGTATTCTAACCAACTGCCAGAAAAATCAAACCATTCTGGATTGAATCGTCTCAATTTTTTTCTTGATAGTGTTTTAGGAAAATCATGCCCGCGAGGTTGACACGGACCTCTAATCAGATATTTGCGTCTTACCTCTTCTCTTTCATCAGGATGATAGTCCAAATTTTTTTTCCTATCTGTAGGATCCAAAGGCAAATCATCCGAATTTTCTTCAATCATTGGTTCAAACTTTACAATTTTAGATTAGAAATTGGTTTACAAACAAATTATCAAATTACAGAAAAACGAACATGTCTTAAAAACATAATCATAACGAATAATTTTATAAAGCTAAACAGATTAATTTTGTCTACTACAATTTTAATATTAATTAATCACAGAATAATTACTTACTTTAGACATCGGAGGCTTGAAAACCGAGAAGAAGCCAAAAAGGTAAACGATAGAAAAAAATGTAGTTGACGAAAGAAAAAAGCTAAGTCAATGTTTCAACTTTCAATGATGCTTTTTTTCCCGTCGTTTATTATTCTTTCATTAGGACTGAGAAAATATTTTTATGGATTTTTCTGTTTAACTATTTTGGGCTAAAACACTATTTTCGTTTTAATTGGAATAGGTTTTGATTGAAAAACATTATTGGGCTGTTGCAACAGATATTTAAGTAAATGAATTAAATATGTAAATAATTTTTTTTTTTTAAAAGAGTGTCGAGCAAGTGCCCACCTCCATCTAGTTATGGGTCCGCCCTTGCTCATAATCATATTGCTTGATTATATGCATTGGGTATTTGGATGAGTTTTTCATAGTTGAAAGATATGACTCGATATTCATTAGATGTGTGCCCATAAG